TATTTTGTTGTAGCGTAAGATTCAGCGTACTTCCTGCTCTTTTCTACTACGGTGACAAGGGACTATTGATAAATGTGGCAAGTATCCGCCTTAGGCTGGGATTTGAGTAGCAGTTCTTATTGTAAATATTTACTGGGGTTTTAAAGTTGTTATTTTATCCCCCACCCCCACCCTTCACACAAAAATTATACATGTGTGGAATAGATAGAACTTAATAGAGACTCTGAGGTATTATAGTGATTGTGGTAAGAATGGTAAGACTTTTATTTTGGTGACTGGCATTAGAGATTATGATTAGTTAAGTTTAAGATAAGACAGATTGATGAACATCCTTCCCCTTGCCCCCTTTTCGGCTTGGGCTACATTTTCTATTTGCAATAATAAATATTACTTGAGGAATAGTTGATTCACTTAATTTTTTCCTTCCTATGTACAACTATTCAAAACCTCTTTTTGGTTTCCCCTATTTAGATTTTCTATTCCTTCGATACTCACTCTAACTACGGCCTTCCTAATTCTCGGCTATCTTGATCAAAGACAACATTACAACATATTTAAATACTAGAATTAACCCATTTGAAAGCCACTCAAGCTAGAGGAATATTGTTAAAATTGTTATGCTGAATGATGCGGGTGCTATGAATGAAAGCGAAGATAGTAATAAGGGAAGATTGTGAGGATAAGGAGGATAGATAGCGATTGAACCATGACTTACAGAGGTTAAGAGTGTAGTGTTTACGTAAGTACCGATGCTGGCATTTGTTTCGCAAAGGAACAATTCTTGGGAAAATTGGTGTCTGAGTGGAACATTCTTCTTAACTATGGAACACGAAGTGATTAGACTTCGTGGAAGTAAGGTCTGAACTGGGGAAATTAAAGAATGACGTGGATATTTTGTTTATAGAATCGAAAATATTTTGCATAATAATAGTGAAATTGTTATGGGACCTTACCCATAATAATAATAATGGACTATTCCATACTTAATAAATACTGCGCCTCAGGAGTCAGTAGTTCAAGGAGTCAGTAGTTCAAGTCAGTTAGTAGTTCAAGTCAGTTAGTAGTTCGAGTCATTTAGTAGTTTAAGTCGAGTCAAGAGTCGAGTCAGAGGCAGTCCGTAACAGAGTCGCTTTCAGACAGTTACTACAAGACATTGGAATAATGATACTGGTTGGGACTACATTGTTCTCTCTACTAAACCTGATTGTTCGTACTAACACTTTCTACTTCTCTGTACATATTCCTGTTTGTAATATACCCGTGTTATTCCATACCTGTGTTCGCGTTCTTCTTTATTGGTTCTACCTTGGACTATCACCGTGGTACAAGGAACCGGACCATAACAGAAATCTAGATAGTGTTTTCATTGGAAGATATTTTCATTGTTAATACAAATGACTACAACTTAACAATGGCGTTAGTTTTGGTACCGATTTGCGTTGTGTTCGGGATTGAAATTTTGCATTGTTCAATTGCGAATTCAAACATTTTTGAATTTGGACGTTAGTTTATGCACAAATGCATGCCACAAAGATGGAAACAAAATTGCACTTTCCCCATAATATGCTCTATGAATTTCGGAAAGGTTTAAGCGTCGGAAATGTTACAAAAAAAAAAAAATAGGCGGTTTATTTGGATGGTGCTCCAGCTCTTCGGATGGACAAAAAATGATTTGGCAGATTTCTCTGGGGTGATCTTTAACCTAAACGATCAACCACGTTCTGGGTGAACTTCCGACGTTAATGAAGATGCTCTGCTTTTGTCATCGTAGAGAATAAACCAAAATATTTCAACGGAACAGATTTCTAAGATTTTCAAAATCGATATTCCAACTGTCATTTGCTGTTTCAAGGGACTTGAGTTCAAGAAAAAGCTGCCGGTTTCGGGAAATTGAAAAGGCGTCATTTTCCCCCGAGACAACACAAGATCTGTATATTGCAAAATATACATTGCAGAAGGTGAAAGAGGGGAAATACGAAACCCTCCAGCAACTATCGTATTCTCCTCTCTTTGCTTCTGATTTTCATTCGTTAATTTTTTTACAGATTTTGATATCATTCCGGGATATTTTTTCCCCGCCCAGATCCATGAATTACCTGTTAAGTCTTAGAAAAACACGAAATAAAATTCACTCTTTTTTATTCATATTGTCCAAGGTGTTAAATTATTCCACCTTTAACAAGAATAATCACAAGTTAAAAATTGCCGCCAAAAATTGTCGATCTATTATGAAATGTTTGTAATTTGTATTGATATATATATGTATGTATGTATGTATTAAGACATTTTTATGTTTATACAATAAATCTTTTATAGCCTGAATGTCCGAAAACCTTATAGAAAATATTCGTCCTCTTTTTATGAGGATTTCTCGGACATTCAGGCTGGTAAATGTTATAAATACTGTTTATTATAAAAACACAGCATTTACTTAAATATTTGTATCTGTAAAAGAATGTATAAACATAAAATGTCTTAAAATAATTATCGGACTTTGTCCATTTCATTATATATATATATATATATATATATATATATATATATATATATATATCAAATATGTGGTGCAGTTCAATTTACATTACATGAATCATTCATACAAAAGACAGATATAAAAGTTAATGATTTAAATGACGAGAATACATCTTATCAAACAATTTTAATAAAGTACATTAACCCCGAACCTGTAGATGAATGTTGTGATCCCTGTTTATAAATTCCAGTTGTATAGGGTCTTTTTTAGTTTTTTTACAAGATTTCATCTGTTCCTACAGACATCATCAGGTATGGAAATAGATTTGTTTTTTGTTTTTTACTTCTCGGTAATAACAGGACAACGAAAATATAGATGTCATCCGAAAAAATTTTTTTAGAAATGTGTTTTTGTTAATTGTAAGAAATTTTTTGGGAGCGTGCGGTCGCAACGCTGAGGTTGAATTTTTAAATTTTTAGATTGTGTGTTTTTGTACTAATATGGTAATAAGAGAATTCTTTTGTACTGGTAGGTTTTTCACTCAATGTGGCATGAACTAAATTGTTCAATAAATACAGGAATGTCACAGTTATTATCCGAAAGTTGCACGTCGGATCAGTTATTTTAATATCAAGTATGTGGTACAGTTCAATTTACATTACATGAATCATTCATACAAAAATTTAGTTAGGTTTAAAATGTCCACTGCCTTCTCTTCAATCACTCTCTTATGCAAATTCATCTACAACTAATTTTCCTTATTTTTTTTTAATATTTGACCCGTCATGATTTTAGCGTTATACACTCTCCACAAGAGCTACGCCATTGAACTGCTTGTCTGTCGATGACAATAACACGGATCTCAGGCATCAATTCTTGTCTTCATTGTTATTTTTTTGTGACATGACTAACAAATAGTTCCCGTCTCCCTATAGAATGTTTTAAAATAACATACCTCCGACCTTGTAGACGGCAACTTGGAATAAAGAATTGTTGTTCAAGTAATACTCACTCTCATCGATCTTTTTTTTTAAGCCGGAACACGAAAGAATGTAAGAAGTAAACGATACGGCTGTCGAAGTTGGATTTGAAAATGAGGTGCTTTTTATTCTGTTAGTAACAATCGTTTTCAGATATGATGTCTGGCTCCCGACAGCTAATAATTCACAAATCAAAATAGAGCTTTAAAATTCGTAAACCTGGGGTCTATAGGTTGAGAGCAGATACTTTCAGAAACTTTATATAATGTATTTACATTTATAAAACTCAGTCTACACACGCAAATACACATCATATGACCACAAAACCAAAATTTATGTCTGAAAGTATTTTTAACATATTACAGTAGAATCCCTGATAACCGGACTAAGAAGGCCTTCCGGATATGAGGAATTGGTTACAAAGTCCGGATATGAGGGGTTATATTTAGATTAAAATAAAAGAACTGAAATCAGGTTTAACATTTATTTTCACTGTTTTATAGTAAACAAAATATGCTAATGATGAGTGAAATATAACGGAATTGATTTTAAGGAAAAAGAAATAAATTATGTAAAGTTAATGAAAATTCATTAAATAAAGTATGCCACGTATGCAAAACAAATAATGTAACGAGGATTTTTTTTAATCGCTGTTGCATGATGATTCTTTCTCTTCTAATGTCATTCTCAATTTTTTCCGCATTTCGTTTTTATTTTGTTCTTGAAATTTTTTTAAAACGAATGACACTTTTTAACTCTGTGTGCGTTAAAACAATCGTCATAGCTGAATGCTGGCTTTCTTTCCATAAAACTGACAACCTTTTCAATACCATTTTCAATTTCAATCCAGGTTTCATCACAATCATGGATCTCGTCGCTATCTTGTTGCAGATGTGTCTCGTTGTCATCCTTTCCTCTTATTCCCATCATCTTTTGCACCCATACAAGCCATTAGGGTGAAATGAGCATAGGCAATTATCCAAAGTAAATTTTCTGAAATACAGAAATTTCAAACCAGTTACATATCGCCTAAATATACACATCACATACATATCTTCGGATATGCGCGATTCCGGATAATGAGGCACACCGGATATAAGGGATTCCAGATATGAGGGATTCTACTGTACTTTCAGTTAGCATATAAATGAATAGAAATTGTACTTATAAATTATTAAAAGCTTAAATATGTTCTGTTATTTGTGGACGTCACTGCTAAACTAGTTTTCGTTTCATTTATAAATCACTGTCCATATTTTTGGGAAAGCCTTATAGACATTTAACAAAGTTATTCATTTGGTTATATTATTAACTACTGTTGTGTATTGGCAATTTCATATATTAATGAACGTCAATCAGCATCTTCTGTTTCCTTGAACCTTGTTTTTTCTTGTCCTTTTCTCAAACGTTCCAATTCTCAGTCTTTTCACTCACTTTCACTTTCACTTTCAGTCCCTGGAACTATGTGCGTTCTGGTGGCATTATTGCCTTGCTTGAGGTGAAAATATTTTAAAAAAAGAGAATGCAAATATTCAATGTTTACATCACGTTGAAACACCGGTTCCCGTATGATCACTGAAGTTAAGCAACATCGTGTCTGGTCAGTAGCTAAATGGGGGAGAGTTAGGGAATACCAGGTAAAGTAAGCTTGCAGGTGGTATAATGGCTCGGAATTGTTAATCGGAGAGCCAAGTTCCAATTCTACTTGGATCCGTCTTATTCATTTACGTGCAAATACCCTTGGGAAAGGTATGAATTCGAATCTTCTCCTCTAGCTATAGGTTAATTAGTAAGACTTTTTTCACCAAATCACTATTATACCCCACTAACCAAAAAAAAAAAAAAAAAATCTTCCAAACTAAAAATATATTCAGACTTTTAATAACCTGCAAAGGGTCGATAAGCCGTTGAAACAGAGTCTATCAAGTCAAATCGGACATTCAGATTCAAGACGTTATGAACGGCCATATTTGATCTTAATTTTTTTTTAACAAAATAGTCATTAAAATATTGTGTTCATTTTTTTTATGCCACATTACAAAATAATTTTAATCCACTAAAGTATTAAATATAAAAATTGAAATAAAAATTCTGTTTCAAATATACGTTTCTACACATAACCCATTAATAACTACTGTCGCATTTTTGGAAGGTTGGCGTTAAAGGGTTAATTTGACGAAAAAAAATGAAAGAAAAAAAATGGTTACAATTAGTCTAGCTTAAAGGTCACCGAGGCAACCTTTAAGCTCGACTTTAAATCACTTCCTATTTGCTGCAACCATATTATTATAATTTGACAATGGCTATTTTAACGTAAATAACATCACAAGCCGGACCACAATGATAATCATCCTCATCATCAACAGCACTAGAATCTCATTTATATGGCGTTATTATTTCTAAATTCTTAGGATTTCTTACACTTGAGTATGCAACATACAATTGGCCATGCGTAAATATTTTTTCTGAAGCCAAATTCAAACTTTTTGAAGTTCTGCGATCCATTTACTTAACTTCACTAATGTTATGCGTTGATTTCTTCTGTACCTCTTGCCTTCAATATGTCTCCTGGGTATCAAATTTTCTAAGCCCCCTTTCCTCATTATGAGCCATAGAAATTTCAACTGTTTCTTTCTGAAGTTGAGTTTAAGCGTCCTTTTTGTTTCTATTTTCTCTTGTTTTCACATGTTATCCTCATCATGCTTCTATAGAATCACTTCAATTAGTCAGTTAAGTGCCATAGGTGTTACACGCTTGGGCGATCATGTCTCTCTCGAGTCATGACTGACTAAGCAGAAGATTTTTCCGCAGTAGGTTGCCATTTCTTTCTGCAGTAGACTGGTTGCCATCCAAGACTATAGGCTCTAGTCTGATCTGCTATTCAACCCGTAGTTGGAGGGAGATGAGTTGGATATATTCCTTTCCCAACGCATATGCGAAGTGATAGCTGCGTTAAATACTGAAATAGGTGAAACTAACCGCTTATTGAATTAATTTTTATTATTATTATTAATAAAAACATCATGAAATTGTTTCAATACGTAAATAATTTTTTAATCGGTATAACCCCATGCAAGGCAGTAAAGCCACTAAGCCACAAAGGTTTACAGGGTGTGGAAGAATTCAACCTGTTGTTGAATTAACTTTCATTTTAATAATTAATCAAAATAGTATAAAATTATTTCAATACATAAATATAGTCTGCTGTTGGAATCATTTTTCGTATTAATAAAAACACTAAGAGATATTTTATTGCAACTTGTATTGCTCTGTAAGGCGAGTATTAGGAAAGTTCATTTCTGAAAGGTAAAGGAAGAACAATATGGTTACATTTTACTTAAAAATCGAAAATTCTTACCTATGAATTTTTTCTGATTTATTTTTTTCCTTTTTTGGTTGGTTTATTTTTAGGTCCAATAAGTCCAGTTGTGTTGATTTGCTCCTGGATGTCATCATTTTTGCTACTAGATCAACGATTACCGATTTTCTTTTACATGGAAACGGCTGATATTATCATTATATTGTAAAATACGGCAAGGGTGTTTTGAAGTTGTAGGCGGGGAGGGGGGGCATCTAACCGATTGCTCTCCTAAGAACTACGGGGGTAACAGGCAGAAAAAGGAAGAGAGACAGGAGGGAACAAAACAACACTGTCTCAGAAACAACAGCACGGCGAGGAACAGGCAATTGAGGAACAAATATATCCAAGGGACCGACTTCACAAGACACCGACTCACGCTAACTACCCGAGGCTGGTTTTACCGTCGTTTTTACTGATAGAAACCTGGATCTGAACAAGTTGCAGAGAGGTCCGTATCTGGACATGCCAAGATGTTCTGCTGCTAACGGGGAAAACCCGGATGTAGCTGATTTTGATAGACATGGCCGCACGCGATTCATGTCCTCTTTTGCATTTTTATTATTTAATTTTTTTTCCGATTTTTTTTATTTTGCTCTTAAATGTTTAAATATCATCATTTTTGGCTGTTCGGTCAATGAATAACCATTTTCTGGTTATATGGAAACGGCTGATATTACCATGATGTTGTAAACTAGGGCAAGTGTGTGTTGAGGTCAAGAGAAACACTTAACCGATTGGTTTGGTTTGTTTTGTTTTAAGGCATATCAACAACAATGGCTTATTTACTCCCGACAATTTTTATTGCTGGTAATATTTTCCTTCAAAAATGTATTGCTGGTAATATTTTTTAAAAAAAAATGTATTGCTGGCAATAATCTTACACAATGTATTTCTAGTATTAAAACCTATTTTTACACATTTATAATGCTTTGGCCCCAGTTTGGGGGTTAAATATTTGCTCATAGTTGGGACCCTAACAGTTGCTACTACCCCGGGTCAGTATGGGCCTAGGAACACCAGCAATTAAGAGGTGGTTCCACGCTCCTCAAAACCTCCTGATCAGAGGCCTTGCTGTTGAACGTAGGTTATCGTCTTATCCAGGACGCGGATGTTGCTTATCGTCATACTCAGGGTGGCCTAAACAATTAGTCTCCAAAGTGATTTGTTTAAAGTGACCCGAAATACACACTCTCCCCATCATAGCACCACGCTCTGTAATCATTCACTGAAACATATTACGTGATGATAGGCTTTTTGAATAGGGGTTTAACTCTGCCTCGGCTGCACGTTAGCCATTGGCGCAAAAAGCTCATCCGACCAACCTTCTCCAGGCTGGTTGAATTGTTTTCCTTCTGCTAGACTGATTACCAACCAAGGCTATTGGGCCCAGGCTTTCCAGGTATTTACCGATAGCTGTGAAGGAGAGGTGGATTCATGCCTTTCCCAAAGATATTTGCGCGTAAGTGAACGTAACGAACTCGACTGGAATTCGAACTCAGCTCTCCGATTTCTTATTCCAAGCCGTTAACCATGGCACCATCCGCTCATCACTATTCTGAATTAAAGTAAGTTTAAGCTAAAATCCCTACCATGAATACCAACATGACTATCACTCTGGCACCAAATATAAAAAAATATGGAAGGATCGTAAGACAAGGGTGCCTCTATTCGGAGGTTTCATTCAACTTCTACTGTTAGGCTCTCCTAAAAAAAAGACGGAGATCCGATTAGGATTTATTATCGTTGGGTACAATCTTAATAGTATAAGATACGCAGATGACACTGTGTTGATGGAAGATATCTGAGTCACTTCGCCATTTTAATTGAATCTATGATTATACCGACCAAGATCCCGTTCGTCATAATCATTTTATAGTCAAGATTTCTCACCTTCGTTACATCAGCCTCGATAACTCCGAAAATAGTTTACAATTCCTATAGTCCTGATCACTGTCGTCTTCGTTCTGCCTTTTCGTTGTTGTTGTTGTTGTTGTTGTTGTTGTTGTTGTTGTTCTTCTTCTTCTTCTTCTTCTTCTTCTTCTTCTTCTTCTTCTTCTTCTTCTATCTCTTCAGAACTTGTGCGATCATGGCTGTACAAAATTTCGTATCACCTGTGGCCTTTAGAAGTTTTTCGCCCATTGCGAAACTACCCGTTATTCTTTCACGCAAGTTTAGTGACTCGCTGACTTCCACGATGTCCCTTGCCCTAAATCTGCCCTCTGAGTGTTAAGTTTTCCAAGCCCTCTTTCCTTCTTATGCATCCAAGCAATTCCAGATGTGTTCTACTGATTCTAAGCAGTAGTGTTCATTTTTCTCTCGCCATTGTCTTTACAATTTCCTTGCTGCTCGTTGGCTCCGTCCAAGACATTCCCAGTATCCTTCTGTGGAACGGCATATTTTCTGCCTCTGGTTTTCTCCTCATCCGTGAAAAATTGTCCAACATAAAATAGGATGAACATCACATAACAATCCATAATACTTTCCTTTGTAACGAAATTTGTCCATGAGTCCCCCGTATTCGCGGGGGTTAGGGACCAGAAATGACAGCGAATAGTTAGGATACACGAATACTTGTAACCCCCTAAAGGTACTTATAAGTACCTATTTTGATTGTTAAAACCCCATAAGCCTTAAACTTTCATCCTAAACACTTCAGAAACATTTCAGACCCATTTAAAAATATTTTTGAAAAATAGTATTGGTGACCATACACTTAGCATAAATTTTCTTTCATGCGTACCATAACCATTTTTAATTACGCATAGATCGATACAACCATTGAAAATACTGTATAAAATATGTGTAACAAGACATAAAATATCAAGTTTAAAACCTTCACTATTAGGTTGGTGCAAAAATAATGACGTAACAATGTCGTTTTTGACGTATTTTTTAACGTCAAAAAACGACATTATTACGTCATTATTTTTGCACCAACCTAATAAAAACAGAACTGTGATAATGTCCCCAGATTTAGCATAAGACCCCACGTTTAAGACCCCAGCCGCAGCCCCTAATCAAGAGCAAAGCCCAAGCACTAAGCATTTTTTGCGTTTGTTTTCTTACAATGTAGATGTATAGTTCAGTGAATTTTTATCATAAAAATGGACTGTTATAAGTTTTAAATCACTTAAATAACAGGAAAATAATACAATAATATTTTAAATATGTACTATCAAAAAAATACGATAATCGAGGGATTTTTCAGCGATTAATTTGTACATATGTTCCTCAGAAAACGCGAATACTGGGGGTTTCCACGAATAATCAGTACTTATA